AGTCCTCTGTTTTGAGTCACAAACAACCGGAACATAATTTCTGTCACTTGATTATTCAAATTGTTATGAACTTGTCTGTGCAGTTCCACTGATTGGCGGTACGCAGCAGAGCAATTTGTTAAAAGACTTCCTGACAAGGTTTTTGTTCATTGTAAGTAGGATCAAGTATCACTTCCTTATCTCATGTTGTGGGAACTGACGCTTTATTGAATGCAGAGGCGTATATGAGCTGGGTTGATTTAGACTAAGAGATGCTTTAGAATCACTTAAATTTCTATCTCAATGACCACGGACTTTTAGAACCCAACCATGCGATCTTGTTACTATTATTATTCTTACTCTTTATTTTGGTTCCCTTGTTTCATTCATCAATAAAACTGTTTCTCATCTGTAAAAAAAAAAAATCATTTACATCCTCTCAAGTCTTAACTACCGGATGATAAATATTTTTTTTCATTCATTTCTTTGCCTTGCTCGTCTTCTCAGTTTCAATCATTTTATTTTTTAGGTAGTGAGCGAAACGTGTCTAAATTGACGCTAGACGGCGTTGATGTGATGGGCGATCGGTTGGCTGAAGAGGTCAGGTCTTAGGCTCGACATTTATCTGATTAGCATTCAACAAAATTGATTGTGTAGTCTCGTTCTATTTCATTTGTACCCAAATCTGATGATTGTTTATGAACATTCCAGGTTCTTCAAGTGATTCAGAGAAAGCCCAACCTACAGAAGATCTCCTTTGTTGCACATTCTGTGGGGGGGTTAGTAGCAAGGTATGCCATTGGAAAGCTATACAGACCGCCTGAGACTGAGAAATTAGAGGATGCATCACCAAATGGACAACCACAAGAGCCATCTGGTGCAATAGGTGGTTTGGAGCCTGTGAACTTCGTCACTGTTGCCACACCGCACCTAGGTTCAAGGGGTAATAAGCAGGTATCTAGATAATTATTTCCTGCTCTTGCATCTGAGATTATTTTATCTTTAAACATGCAACGGTAAGTTGTGCATTGTTGTTTGGATTTGGTATCAACGAATTAGGTTTCAAGTGCCTTGGTGGTTAGCTTTGTATTTTTTATGAAGTTTGATCAGTCTGGCTGTCGGCATAGTCTGGATAAGTAAAAGACTTTAAGATCCAGAATGCTAACTGGTGCAAATTCTTAGAAATACTCTGTTACAGGGAGTTAACATAGCCATAGTCGTGGACTGGTATGACCCAAAAAATCAAACCATGGTCTGATTTCTGCTGGTTGCCTTCGGAATATAATCATAACTATTCTCGCAAGAAAAAAGCTTTCTTTCTTTTATGTATGTATTAAATACCAGTGATGGTATGCACAAATCATACCTATCTCAAAATAGTGCGGTCTTCTTGGAGATGTTATTTAAGGCGTGCAGACATTGAATAATTTTCCGTCTTGTTGGGTCTTAGGCTGTCTATTCTTTTTAGTCAGCAGTGCACCGTTGTAGTGATGATCCCCCCTGGTGTTCTACAATAACCGTTCTCTGATTTTGTCAATTTCCTTTTATGTTTTCATCCATTTTCTCGTCATCTTTATTAGCAATAAAAATACTTATTTCCGTAATTGATGAAACTATTGAACTTTCGCAGTAGGTGAACCTCTATTGGAAATTTATCTATTACCTTCCCGTAATCACTATGTAAATAGTGTTAATTGCAAAGCGTTGTGAGACATTTCAGACATCTGAACTTTGAAAATCAATAAAATTTGTTTCTTATCGAAAAAAATAAAGTAAAAACTTTTCTCACTATCTATCTATATTGACGTTTTAATGAGATTCTCATCAGATACTTCTGACATTTCAGTCAATTTTAATATTTTCATCCTTTATTCACGAGACAACTTTTCATGTCAATTATGGTCTTGTACTCTTGTTAATCTTGGTCTTTCTTACCAGGTACCGTTTCTTTTTGGTCTAACTGCTATTGAGAAACTCGCAAGCTTGATTATCCATTGGATACTTAGAAGAACAGGCGAACACCTTTTTATGACTGATGATGATGGAGGAAAGCCTCCACTGGTTCAACGCATGATAGAAGACCAAGGCGAATACTACTTCATGTAATTATCAACATTTTGACATTCAATATGATCTTTTGAGTGGTAAAGTACTTGGAGTTCCTTGATAGAATGGCGAAAATTTTATTAATGCAGGTCTGCGTTGAAGTCATTCAAACGTAGGGTCGTCTATTCTAATGTTGACTACGACCGTATCCTTTTTTTGCTGTCTATCTAGCCAATATAATTTTTTTTTTAATGTTATTGGTCGATTTTCAAATTATTCATTCTTGTTCTCCTTTACAAGATATTGTGAAGATTTTGTTGGTTGGAGAACATCATCAATTAGACGTATTGATGAGTTGCCAAAGGTACTTTTTCCCCACTTTTTCTTGTAGTAGATTAACCACTGGATACATGGTAACCAGTTGATAAATTTGACAATCATGATCATTAACCACTCACTCCTATTGGATTATCAGTGGGAAGATGCGGTCAACGAAAAGTATCCTCATGTTGTTTATGAAGAACACTGCAAGGGTACCGATGCTGAGAAGATCGAACCAACCTCAACAGAAGTTAGCTATCCTGAAAGGCTGGAAGGTTTGCACTTTCTCTCTGTTGTCTAAGTTGTATGCAATTCAAATAGACCAATGTTGACAGCTAAATTTCGGAAGCATAGTTGTCTAACGTCCTATGCTTGTTCATGGATTTGGTCGTTTAGAGGAATTGGTGACGGGTCTATCTCGTCTGTCATGGGAAAAAGTAGATGTTAGCTTTCATAAATCTAGACAGAGGCTTGCAGCTCACAGCATTATTCAGGTAGCTCTCTCTGTCTCTCTCTTACACTTCTTCCTGCACTTCCAACCCTGGATGTCATAATTCATTCAATATCTTCTGAATTCTGATGGCAATCTTATTACACCACAACAGCTAACGCAGCCTCCATTCTTTACCTTATGGCTGATCTATGTCGGCCGTAATGGCATATCTCTATTTCGTTGCTGTCTGATTTCCTTTTTCACTTGATTTTCACCCTTTTACTTATTAATTTTCCTTGAAATACCTAGGAAAGCTTCGAAATATTTTTCTGATAAATACATTTTTTACTCTCAAATTTTGCAACAGCATACTGTATTATACTTTGTGCAGACATAACTAGAGTTGTCTGCCATTTCTAATTTCAATCCTTTTCCTTGTTTCCAGTATAGGTTTCGGGCTGTTCAATAACATTTTCGTTTTATTTTTCTATTGTTAAATATCATGCTAATTTCCAACCTTTTTCTTTGTTTGTAATCTACTTTCCTAATTATTTTTTTTAAAACCATAACAATTTTGTTTTTAAAACTAGTTTCAAGAAAAGAAAGCAAAAAAAACAAGATTTGTATCAGACAGGGCGTTCACTGTCTATTCTGAATGAGTGGCAATCGAAAGACTAAATAATAAATTGAACAGCTAGTGTAAAGAAAAAGCAGTTCAAAGTTTGAAACATAGTTTAAGTTCTCAATTAGATTACCGTTTGGCACCACTGGTCAGTCATTCTAAGTTGTTTCTAACCGGACATGCTTGGTTAGACAGGTGATTAGTCCATTGCTGCTCTAATATCTTAACCCCGTTCTGCTGCCTTTACAAGTATGCAATTTCTTGTTTTCTAAATGTTTATTTTACTTCATACCATCAACAGGTGAAAGATCACATCGGGCATATAGAAGGTGCAGATGTCATAGATCACATAATTGATCATTTTCAAACTTGAACTGCTAACGACCACGACGAAACCACAATTACATACTAGAGACACCGTCTTATCGCGGGTAAGCTTTAACCTGGACAACGAATCTGTCGATTTAATCACTAGAAGCATTTTTTTGTTTCTTTTCTTCTACTAGGATTTCAACTAGATGGGTTGCCTAGTGCTAAAATCTATGCACTGCAGTAGGATTTTAGGAACCTATTTATTTGACTGCTGCGATGAACTGAAGCTCTCCCTTTCGACTGACTGCAGGTTGGAGATGCTTTTGCAGTCTAAAGGACACATTTCCACGAAACCTATGATTACAATTTATTGATGTCGCTTAATACATAGTATTATAAATTGTATATGTTAGGATACTATATGGTTATTTGAATCATCACATTAATTGTAGTAATAACTGGTTTGGTGAAGTGTTCGTTAGAGTGTGGCTTAAGTGCATGCTTCAAAAGGTATAAGTGAACAATGTTGAATCATAAACCACAAAGAACATGGTTCCTATGAAAGTACCAAAGTCTGTCCTTTCCTTAAACTGTGTTTATGTCAACCTTCAATTTATCTGTTTGCCTGCACCTTATTATGTCTAGCAAGGATAAAACAGTAATTAACAATTTTTTTTTTATTAAAATATTAAATATTAAAGGGAATTTTTTTAATAAAAAAGGAAAGAGCCGATATTATTTATGAAGCTAATAATTCCTGTTTTATGATTCTACTTCTATGTTAGGTTATGAATTGGTGGTATATAATCTATCAAGAGGTTATTTGACGATATGTAACCGTCAAAACTTATCATTAGCAGATATTGTTTATTTTAACTGCTCGCTATTTATGGTCAAAATGTCAAAACTTATCATTAGCAGATATTGTTTGCTTTAACTCGCTATTTATAGTCGTTTCAATGCATATGCTAGGTAGAGATTTTCACAACTTCATAAATAATGTTTTATTTCTCTCTCCGAGATTTTCACAACTTCATAAATAATGTTTTATTTCTCTCTCCAATCAAGGTGCGATCCCATGTGACATAGTTTAAGTAAATTCTTTCATGATAAAATAGGTTTAAGAAAAAGAAAAATTGTGGCTTGAATTTTGTGTCTTTTTTAACCAACCAAGAACGTTGACCAATAATAGAAAGAACGGATCAGGGCTGACAATTTATTTTTTTGGCAATATAACTGACCAAAATTGTTTCCAAGCGAATCGATGTTTAATAATTTTTGGACTTTATAAATTAAAGAAGCCGAATCAAGCGATCGAGTATTTTCTGGGGAGGCCGCAACAGCAACACGTCTTCAACCATTATGTGAATCTCTATCCAATCACTCGCGGGAAATTTCTCTCCAGCAAAAACTATTTTGAGCGCCATCTCTCTCCTAAACCAACGTTTTCTCCTTTCAAATTCTGAATCATCATGAATTTTGGAGTTTCCACTTCCACGGACATTGCAATCTCCATTCCGTCGCTTCACCTCTCCTCCTCTCCCCTTTCCTTCAAGTCCAGTGCTACGATCTCACTTCAATCTCCTAGATTCCGGAATGCGTATTTCGGTAGCTTGTTTTTCGGTTCCCGCCGGATTGCGCGAAGGATCACCACTGTCGAAACACGCCAGTGTTCTTCTAAAGCCACGGATGATGATTTCATCATTGAAGACGTTCCTCACTTGGCTGACTTTCTTCCTGACTTACCGGTACTGCTCGAACGTTAATTTCATAGTTCTGTGCTATTTATTTGGATTATTTGCTTAATCGAAATGATTTGATCTTGTAAAATTATCATGTCATTATGCTTTTGTATATTTTGAGTATACCTATAATTCTACTTGCGCCTGGTTCGGATTTCTATGTCGTAGTGTTTTGGTAATTCACTGGATGTTTGCGGCATCTATGTCGTTTGCACTCTCAGTTTCAAATGAAAACGTCCCCGTTTTCTTGCTACGGCCGAGTCGACTATCTACTTCACTTGTACTCGTTCAAGGATAATTTTCTCTGTGTTATTTATAGATTATATAGATATCGATAAATTTTGAATTGCTCAGCTCGCTTATTGTCGAATGAACTATTCTGCAAAGAAGCTTTTGGTCGGTGTCTTTAGGAGGTGGCCGATTGTTTGTTCTGAAAATTTCGCTGCATTCATAACTAAAGATTTGGAGACGCGAGGTGCTGGTAGATCGCCTCTCCTGGAAATTTAATTATTTTATTTGTAATTGTGGCCTTCGAGTCATAATGTTACTTTTCCACGTCTGACGTAGTTTGGACTTAGGTTAGAGCATGAAGGATGATCTGCTTGGTCATTCAGAAGAGCAGTTAGTCCTTAATCTCATGTCAAGAAATTCTTTAAAGTAAGGTAATCGAAAATATGAAGTTCCTTATTCCGAAGCTCTTTGCTTTGTTAGCTGTGTCTTGACAAGAGCAAATCAACTGTGTTCAAATATAGACGCGTGCGATTTGAAAGTAGGGCTCTAAAATTCTAGTTTCCTTCCATAGAAATGGATTTTGATGTATTCCATTGAAATTGTATAATTATCAATAAGGACACCACGGATTTGAAAACGAACTCATTTTTCAATTCTAATTGGTTAAACAATTAAAATTTTGAATGCATATAAGTTGGATGATACTAAAATACTTTTGGGCCATGGTTATATGTATATTTATTATCATAGTGATTCCTTTTACTCTTATCTTGCATAAACCTGCAAAACCACTGAGTAGTTCATTACTTTCTGCTTTATGTAGTCGTATGCAAATCCACTGAAAAACAGTCAGGCGTATGCAATTGTCAAGTAAGTTCAACGACAATGTTTCCAATTTGTTCTTCTATTACAATTTAACATGCATCCAAGTCAGTTTTTCTGTTTGTATTTTGGAACTCCTTTTTGGTTATTATTTATTAGGTTTGAAATATTTCAGGGAAACTTTCGTAAAGCCAGAAGATGTTGTTGCACAAAAAGTAGGCTTATTATCTTTCTCTCTCTCTTTTGCAATTTATCATTCTTTTTTCTTGTTATTTAAAAAGCTTTTGATGGTATAATTACTGATGCAGCATCTCTCTTCTCTCTTTTGCAATTTATTATTCTTTTTTCTTGTTATTTTAAAAAGCTTTTGATGGTACAATTACTGATGTGCAATCTTCGTTCATCGTGCACTGGTTTCAGATTGTAATTACGAAAGATAGATCTAGAGGAGTACATTTTCGACGTGCAGGTCCTCGTGAAAAGGTACCTTCTTATTCTGATCATGCCTGTTGAAACTTGAAGGATGAAAGGAGAACTTTGTGATGCAGGTTTATTTCAAGTCAGATGAGGTGCGTGCTTGTGTAGTGACATGTGGAGGTCTATGCCCTGGAATTAACACAGTGGTTCGGGAGATTGTCTGTGGCTTGAACTTTATGTATGGCGTTGATGACATACTTGGAATTGTGGTATTGGAAATATTTTTATTTCCTTAACTTCTTTTAATATTTCCCAATTTTTATCTTTCTATTTAGTTTGTTATTCCCCATGCTCAGTATAAAGACTTGCAGAATAATTAATTTTGTTGATGGTGTTATACTTACAATCCTTTTCAAGCTCATGTGAACGTGCAAGTTTGAATTTCATTAAAATTGTTGCATGTTTTAGTTTCTCTTTCTTCAAGTCCAAAGATTCCAAACCTATAGGTTCATGATAATTCTTTTTGTTGATTGATGTGAAATTAGAAATTTTCCATATTGGAGGATCTACTTCCATTTACATTGAACACACACCCTTGGCTAGGCGTCAAACTAGATATGCATTTTAAAATGATGAAAATATGTCTTCACTTAATAAAATAAGCCGTATACGTACAAAGAGAGAATATGATGAAGTGCTGGGTTTCAACAAACAAGTTCATTAAGATCCAAAGATCGCTAAACCTGAGTTCCATTGCATAGACAAGTAGTCGAGGCCACTCTTTGTAAATTTGATCTGGACTTTATTATCCTCTCAGAGACCAAGCAGTTCCATCTATTAGAAGGTGGTTAAATCTGTATGGAGCTCTATAGATATTGTTTGGTCTGCTCCGGGTGCATCTAGGTTTTTCTGTATATCTTCACTTTGTGGAAGGATAATTCTATTCTTTGTTTCAGAAATTGTGGAGAGGCCTTCCTCCTCTTGGTGGCTTTTACCATGTCTGATGGTTTTGTTGAATTTACGACAACTTTGATTTTGGCTGTTTCTCTCCCTCTCTCTTTCGCCGTTCTCTTCTATTCATCTAGTTGGCCTCTTGGGACTCGGACCAAAAAGATAAGATTACATCCCAACTAAGCATAATATGGTTGAATCAAAATCATAAGGTTAAATATTGTATTTGTTCATGGAATCTGCCAACATACAAGAAAAGAAAAATCACATTGTGATTTTGGAGTAATATAAAGTTCTATTTTCAGCCAGTGAAATTGGGTTCATCAGTTGATTAACCGGCTTGATCTATATTTTTTCTTAACATGTACTGTTATGCTGTTTTATATCATCAGGGAGGATACAGAGGGTTTTACTCAAAGAATACATTACAATTGACGCCTAAAGTTGTTAACAATATCCACAAACATGGTGGTACTTTTCTTCGTACTTCACGAGGAGGCCATGATACAAATAAGATTGTTGATAATATCCAGGATCGTGGCATAAATCAGGTACCTATGCCTTTCCTCTTCTCTCAACCATAGCAGGTCCAAGTGAAAGGACTAGATGTCTATTTTAGAGAAGAAGCAAGAGAGAAAAAAAAAAAAAAAAAAA